AGTGTGACGAGCAGATCCTGCCCCACAGAGACAAGCCACGGATATCTGGTCACGAGCACCACGGATGACGAGCACAACGACGTGACAAGCACACCGGGGACAGCCACGAGTTTCTGTGACGACTACGACTGAAACCAGCACAACCAGCGTGACAAGCACTACAGAGTCGAGCACGACCAGTGTGTCAAGCACCACGGGCACCAGCACGACGTCGGGTACAAGCCACCACAGAATCAGCTCGGACAACGAGTCACGAGCACCAGTGGAACTATCAAACCAGTGTGACGAGCACACAGAGAACAAGCACGACAACGCTCACGAGCACCACGGAGACGAGCACAACGACGTTGACAAGCACCACCGGGACCAGCACGAGTTCTGTGACGACTACGACTGAAACCAGCACAACCAGCGTGACAAGCACTACAGAGTCGAGCACGACCAGTGTGTCAAGCACCACGGGCACCAGCACGACGTCGGTGACAAGCACCACAGAGTCAAGCTCGACTACGGTCACGAGCAGCAGTGAAACTAGCACAACGAGTGTGTCAAGCACAACAGAGACCAGCACGACAACGCTCACGAGCACCACGGAGACGAGCACAACGACGTTGACAAGCACCACAGAGACCAGCACGAGTACTGTGACGACCACGACTGAAACCAGCACAACCAGCGTGACAAGCACGACAGAGTCGAGCACGACCACTGTGTCAAGCTCCACGGGCACCAGCACGACGTCGGTGACAAGCACCACAGACTCAAGCTCGACAACGGTCACGAGCACCAGTGGAACTAGCACAACGAGTGTGACGAGCACCACAGAGACAAGCACGACAACGCTCACGAGCACCACGGAGACGAGCACAACGACGGTGACAAGCACCACCGGGACCAGCACGAGTTCTGTGACGACTACGACTGAAACCAGCACAACCAGCGTGACAAGCACTACAGAGTCGAGCACGACCAGTGTGTCAAGCACCACGGGCACCAGCACGACGTCGGTGACAAGCACCACAGAATCAAGCTCGACAACGGTCACGAGCACCAGTGGAACTAGCACAACCAGTGTGACGAGCACCACAGAGACAAGCACGACAACGCTCACGAGCACCACGGAGACGAGCACAACGACGTTGACAAGCACCACAGAGACCAGCACGAGTTCTGTGACGACCACGACTGAAACCAGCACAACCAGCGTGACAAGCACTACAGAGTCGAGCACGACCAGTGTGTCAAGCTCCACGGGCACCAGCACGACGTCGGTGACAAGCACCACAGAATCAAGCCGACAAACGGTCACGAGCCACAAACGTCAACAACAAACTAAGAGACGACAACCACAAAACACCAAACACGACAACGCTCACGAGCACCACGGAGACGAGCACAACGACGGTGACAAGCTCCACAGAGACCAGCACGAGTTCTGTGACGACGACGACGGAGACCAGCACAACCAGCGGGACAAGCACGACGGAGTCGAGCACGACCAGTGCGTCAAGCACCACGGGCACGAGCACGACGTCGGTGACAAGCACCACAGACTCAAGCTCGACAACGGTCACGAGCACCAGTGGAACTAGCACAACGAGAGGTTGACACGCACCGACCGGAGAACCAGCACGACAAGGCTCACGAGCACCACGGAGACGAATCACAACGACTTTGACGAGCCGCCCGGGACCAGCACGGAGTCCAAGGCCCGTCGGACGACGAGATACCATCACAACCAGCGTGACAAAAGCACGACAGAGTCCTGAGCACGACCACATGTGTCCAAGGCTCCACGGTCACCAGCAGACGTCGGTGACAAGCACAAACAGACACAAGCTCGACATCGTCCACGAGCACCATTGAACTAGCACAACGAGTGTGACGAGCACCACAGAACAAGCACGACAACGCTCACGAGCACCAACGGAGACACACAACGACTTGACAATCACCACCGGGACCAGCACGAGTTCTGTGACGACTACGACTGAAACCAGCACAACCAGCGTGACAAGCACTACAGAGTCGAGCACGACCAGTGTGTCAAGCACCACGGGCACCAGCACGACGTCGGCGACAAGCACCACAGAATCAAGCTCGACAACGGTCACGAGCACCAGTGGAACTAGCACAACCAGTGTGACGAGCACCACAGAGACAAGCACGACAACGCTCACGAGCACCACGGAGACGAGCACAACGACGTTGACAAGCACCACAGCGACCAGCACGAGTTCTGTGACGACCACGACTGAAACCAGCACAACCAGCGTGACAAGCACTACAGAGTCGAGCACGACCAGTGTGTCAAGCTCCACGGGCACCAGCACGACGTCGGTGACAAGCACCACAGAATCAAGCTCGACAACGGTCACGAGCACCAGTGAAACCAGTACAACTAGTGTGACGAGCACAGAGACCAGCACGACGCTCACGAGTGACAAGCTCCACAGCAGCACGAGTTCCGACGTGCGTCGAAGCACCACGGGCACGAGCACGACGTCGGTGACAAGCACCACAGAATCAAGCTCGACAACGGTCACGAGCACCAGTGGAACTAGCACAACGAGTGTGACAAGCACCACGGAGACCAGCACGACAACGCTCACGAGCACCACGGAGACGAGCACAACGACTTTGACGAGCACCACCGGGACCAGCACGAGTTCCGTGTCGACAGACGACGGAGACCAGCACAACCAGCGTGACAAGCACGACTAGTCGAGCACGACCACTGTGTCAAGCTCCACGGCACCAGCACGACGTCGGTGACAAGCACCACAGACTCAAGCTCGACAACGGTCACGAGCACCAGTGGAACTAGCACAACGAGTGTGACGAGCACCACAGAGACAAGCACGACAACGCTCACGAGCACCACGGAGACGAGCACAACGACGTTGACAAGCACCACCGGGACCAGCACGAGTTCTGTGACGACTACGACTGAAACCAGCACAACCAGCGTGACAAGCACTACAGAGTCGAGCACGACCAGTGTGTCAAGCACCACGGGCACCAGCACGACGTCGGTGACAAGCACCACAGAATCAAGCTCGACAACGGTCACGAGCACCAGTGGAACTAGCACAACCAGTGTGACGAGCACCACAGAGACAAGCACGACAACGCTCACGAGCACCACGGAGACGAGCACAACGACGTTGACAAGCACCACAGAGACCAGCACGAGTTCTGTGACGACCACGACTGAAACCAGCACAACCAGCGTGACAAGCACTACAGAGTCGAGCACGACCAGTGTGTCAAGCTCCACGGGCACCAGCACGACGTCGGTGACAAGCACCACAGAATCAAGCTCGACAACGGTCACGAGCACCAGTGAAACCAGTACAACTAGTGTGACGAGCACCACAGAGACCAGCACGACAACGCTCACGAGCACCACGGAGACGAGCACAACGACGGTGACAAGCTCCACAGAGACCAGCACGAGTTCTGTGACGACGACGACGGAGACCAGCACAACCAGCGGGACAAGCACGACAGAGTCGAGCACGACCAGTGTGTCAAGCACCACGGGCACCAGCACGACGTCGGTGACAAGCACCACAGAGTCAAGCTCGACTACGGTCACGAGCACCAGTGAAACTAGCACAAGTAGTGTGACAAGCACCACAGAGACCAGCACGACAACGCTCACGAGCACCACGGAGACGAGCACAACGACGTTGACAAGCACCACAGGGACCAGCACGAGTTCTGTGACGACGACGACGGAGACCAGCACAACCAGCGGGACAAGCACGACAGAGTCGAGCACGACCAGTGTGTCAAGCACCACGGGCACCAGCACGACGTCGGTGACAAGCACCACAGAGTCAAGCTCGACTACGGTCACGAGCAGCAGTGAAACTAGCACAACGAGTGTGTCAAGCACAACAGAGACCAGCACGACAACGCTCACGAGCACCACGGAGACGAGCACAACGACGTTGACAAGCACCACAGAGACCAGCACGAGTTCTGTGACGACTACGACAGAGACCAGCACAACCAGCGTGACAAGCACGACAGAGTCGAGCACGACCAGTGTGTCAAGCACTACGGGCACCAGCACGACGTCGGTAACAAGCACCACGGAGTCAAGCTCGACAACAGTCACGAGCACCAGTGAAACCAGCACAACCAGTGTGACGAGCACCACAGAGACCAGCACGACAACCCTCACGAGCACCACGGAGACGAGCACAACGACGATGACGAGCACCACAGGGACCAGCACGAGTTCTGTGACGACGATGACGGAGACCAGCACAACCAGCGTGACAAGCACGACAGGGTCGAGCACGACCAGTGTGTCGAGTACCACGATCACGAGCACGACGTCGGTGACAAGCACCACAGGGTCAAGCTCGACAACGGTCACGAGCACCAGTGAAACTAGCACAAGTAGTGTGACAAGCACCACAGAGACCAGCACGACAACGCTCACGAGCACCACGGAGACGAGCACAACGACGTTGACAAGCACCACAGAGACCAGCACGAGTTCTGTGACGACTACCACAGAGACCAGCACAACAAGCGTGACAAGCACGACAGAGTCGAGCACGACCAGTGTGTCAAGCACCACTGGCACGAGCACGACGTCGGTGACAAGCACCACAGGGTCAAGCTCGACAACGGTCACGAGCACCAGTGAAACTAGCACAACTAGTGTGACAAGCACCACAGAGACAAGCACAACAACGCTCACGAGTACCACGGAGACGAGCACAACTTCAGTGACAAGCACCACCGGGACCAGCACGAGTTCCGTGTCGACGACGACGGAGACCAGCACAACCAGCGTGACAAGCACGACCAGTGTGTCAAGCACCACGGGCACCAGCACGACGTCGGTGACAAGCACCACAGAGTCAAGCTCGACAACGGTCACGAGCACCAGTGAAACTAGCACAAGCAGTGTGACAAGCACTACAGAGACCAGCACGACAACGCTCACGAGCACCACGGAGACGAGCACAACGACGATGACAAGCACCACAGAGACCAGCACGAGTTCTGTGACGACTACGACGGAGACCAGCACAACCAGCGTGACAAGCACGACAGAGTCGAGCACGACCAGTGCGTCAAGCACCACGGGCACCAGCACGACGTCGGTGACAAGCACCACAGAATCAAGCTCCACAACGGTCACGAGCACCAGTGAAACTAGCACAAGTAGTGTGACAAGCACCACAGAGACCAGCACGACAACGCCCACGAGCACCACGGAGACGAGCACAACGACGATGACAAGCACCACAGAGACCAGCACGAGTTCTGTGACGACTACGACGGAGACCAGCACAACTAGCGTGACAAGCACGACAGAGTCGAGCACGACCAGTGTGTCAAGCACCACGGGCACCAGCACGACGTCGGTGACAAGCACCACAGAATCAAGCTCCACAACGGTCACGAGCACCAGTGAAACTAGCACAAGTAGTGTGACAAGCACCACAGAGACCAGCACGACAACGCTCACGAGCACCACGGAGACGAGCACAACGACGATGACAAGCACCACAGAGACCAGCACGAGTTCCGTGACGACTACGACGGAGACCAGCACAACCAGCGTGACAAGCACGACAGAGTCGAGCACGACCAGTGCGTCAAGCACTACGGGCACCAGCACGACGTCGGTAACAAGCACCACAGAATCAAGCTCCGCAACGGTCACGAGCACCAGTGAAACTAGCACAACCAGTGTGACAAGCACCACAGAGACCAGCACGACAACGCTCACGCGCACCACGGAGACGAGCACAACGACGATGACGAGCACCACAGGGACCAGCACGAGTTCTGTGACGACTACAACGGAGACCAGCACAACCAGCGTGTCAAGCACGACAGAGTCGAGCACGACCAGTGTGTCAAGTACCACGGGCACCAGCACGACGTCGGTGACAAGCACCACAGAATCAAGCTCGACAACGGTCACGAGCAGCAGTGAAACTAGCACAAGCAGTATGACAAGCACCACAGAGACCAGCACGACATCGGCGACAAGCAACACAAAGACGAGCACAACGTCAGTGACAAGCACCACGGAGTCAAGCTCGACAACGGTCACGAGCACCAGTGAAACTAGCACAAGTAGTGTGACAAGCTCGACAGAAACCAGCACGACAACGCTCACGAGCACCACGGATACTAGCACAACGTCGGTGACAAGCACCACAGAGACCAGCACGAGTTCCGTGACGACTACGACAGAGACTAGCACAACCAGCGTGACAAGCACGACCAGTTTGTCGAGCACCACTGGTACCAGCACGACGTCGGTGACAAGCTCAAGTTCTGTGACGACTACGACGGGGACAAGCACGACGTCGTCGACACGCACGACAGTGTCGAGCACGACCAGTGTGTCAAGCACCACAGACTCAAGCTCGACAACGCTTACGAGCACCAGTGAAACTAGCACAACTAGTGTGACCAGCACCACAAAGACCAGCACGACATCGCTCACGAGCACCACGGAGACGAGCACGACGACGCTGACGACCATTACGGATACCATCACGAGTTCTGTCACGACTACGACGGAGACGAGCACGACGACGGTGACGACCACTGGAACGTTCACGACCACCACTCGCGCGAACTGCGACGTCGACAACTGCAACAGCGCCCCGTACACGTGGTACAGGAAGTGCTTGTTCGTGCCGTTCTTGGTGATGTGTGGCGGGTGTAAAGAATGCGAGCAGTTGACGACCCTGACAAGCACCTCCGTGACGTACACCTCCACGACGGTGAGCCTCACCATCACGAGCTCCACCATGACGAGCTCCACCACCACCGTGACGTCGATGACGAGCGCTACCATTACCAGCACGCCGACGCGGACCTCCCACAGCAGCACGACGACCTCTACGATCTCCACGCTCACTGGGACCTCTGGCACAGCGACGGCCTCCACGACCACGACAGGGAGCTCGCTGAGCACCTCCGAGACGACGGCGAGCACACTGAGCGCAACGGAGACGACGGCAAGCACCCTGAGCGCAACGGTGACCACCTTCACGTTTCTAGCAGGTCAGCCGACGTGGACAGTCACCAAGACGACCAAGACAACCACGACCAAAACAACCACGACCGTGTCGATCACAGAGTCGAGCTTGACGAGCGCGACATTGACGAGCGCGACAGCAACGACGGGATCGACGGTTACCGATACCACCACTACCGAGACAACGACCACCGAAACCAGTTTCACCGAGACCAGCATCTCAATGACCGAGACGAGCACATCCACCACCGCAACGACCACCACCACGGGCACCACCCTCACCGAGACCAGCACGACGCGGCCCAACTGCGACCTCTTCCTGTGCTCCAGCGTGCCCTTCCCCTGGACGCGGAAGTGCTTCTTCCTGCCCTACTCGAGCCTCTGCGGGGGCTGCGCGGCGTGCGACACCACGGTGGCGACCACCACCACCCGGAGCTCCGTGACGACAGTCTCGACGAGCCGTACCTCTACGGTCTCGTCCACCGCGACGTCCTCGAGCACCGTGACGTCGACGACGCAGTCCACGACGAGCGCCACGGCGAGCTCCACCGCCAGCACCACGACCGCCAGCGCCACGACCGAGAGCTCCATTTCCGCCACTACGAAATCCGCCACTACGATTTCCGCCACTACACTCTCGCCCACTACGACGTCTGCCACCACAGTTTCCACGCCCCCTCCGACGCCTGCACCACCTCCAGACTGGACCTACACAAGTGTTACTGGGACCAGTGTCACCACCACCGTGTCAAGCTGGACTAGTGCTACCAGCACCGTGTCGAGCTCCACGCACTCGGTGTCGAGCACAACAAGCGAGTCGAGCTCGACGACCTCGTTGTCGACCACCGCCACTGTCACCGACACGACCAGCTCTGTCACTACTACTTCTGCCACTACCACCACTACCACCACCACTACCACCACCACAACCGTCACGACAACTGTCCAGACCACGCGGGCGGGGATCTGCATAGCCACCTGCTACTCGTGGCCGTTCCCCTGGGCCAGGAAGTGCTTCTTCGTGCCTTTCTCGGTCTACTGCTCCGGATGCCCCGAGTGCGCAACCGCAAGGAGGATGACGATGGTGGCCTACAATCAGACTCTGGCGCCAGGAGGGTGATCGTGGACGCGCCCTGGTGCTCGGGGGCTCCTGAGTGCAACACGCGTGATGCGTGGAGCTGGGCCTCTGGAGCCCAGCTCCTTGAGCACGGCTTCGCAGCTCAGCTGCTTAGACACAGCTGTACAGGACAGCTCTGCTTAGCTGCAGCCCATGCTTTCCTCGCCGTCTTCTCTCGCTTCTCACCTTCGTGTGCCTCCCTCCCTTCTCCTCGCATGCCCATGTCTCACAGTGTTTCACTCTGCGTTTCGCTGCGAGGCCCCCATGAGCGGGCGCTGTCGCACCCACCGGCAGCGCGGCCGCAGGGCTGAATTCCGGCCGTTGCCCCTTCCGTCTTCCGAGTCACCCATCCAGGCCCGAGGCGGACTTCGCCGCGCGCCCGAGCCTGCGTGAGCGGCTGGCCGGACACGGCGCCCTCGCGCGGCCTCGGGCCCCGAACGGGCTTTTTTGAAGCCTGACAGCCAGAAAAATCGTCGAAGATCCAGAGTGGTCGAGAGAGATCGACACATTCAGAAAGATGCAGGTGCGAAGCTCCTCGGGATAATATGGTTAATTTGCAAGTGTTCCTGAGGGAAGCGGGTTCGAGGTCTGTGCTAAGTGTTTGGTCCCTCGACGTGCCCCTGGATTGTTCGAACACGACTCAGAAAGAAACGCTGGTTCTGGGGGAAGACATCGGTGCACATGGCTTGTTTCCCTCGGGACCCGCATGCTCCATGCCAATGTATGTGTCTTGATCTTGCGATTGGACAGAAGCGTTGTTTGTGCTGTCTTCACAGGATGCGTGGGGGGAAACAAGCAGAGATACAGAAAAGAAGAGAGGGAGGGAGAGTGGAGTGAGAGAGAGGAAGATACAGAGAGAGAGAGAGAGCGCGAGCGAGAGAATGTGTGGGTGGAGGCTTTTCCCAGCCAGTTGCTGGACTTACGACCGGCGTTGTCGGTTATACAAATGGCTGTGAATTCGGCCGGGGGGGAGCCATCGGAGTCATGATCAGTGGACGTTTCAGGGATGTGTGTGGACAATGTAAGCGCATCCTTCTGCATGACCCATCCAGCTTAGATGGTGACCCAGCGGATACAATACGCCTGGCCGCAACATAGCAATATCAAGACGGAGAGCACGCAGATTACCTAATGGGCATTCGTTTCATGATTAGGTTCGCGCCTGTCCGTCACGATCATGTCATCCTGCACCCACCTCTGGTCACCTCTGTCCCCAGGCCTCGTCGTGCTCTTGCCTTCCGAGTGAACTTTGCGCGTGGTTGGCAAGGGCTGCCTCTCTGCGCGCTGCCACGGGAATGGGGGAAGTTTCGATCGGAAGGAGGAGGAGGAGGAAGAGGAGGAGGAGGAGGAGGAGGAGGAGGAGGAGGAGGGCGTCTGGTCACCTCTGTCCCCAGGCCTCGTCGTGCTCTTGCCTTCCTTCCTGCGCGCCTCCCCGCCGCGTTCCTGCCACTGCCCCCCGCGCGGCCGCGCTCGGCTGCCCGCTGGTCCCCGTCCCCCGTGGGGGGGGGGGGCGGTGGAGCCTCGGCAGCGGCCGCCCGCCTCCCTGGGAGGGCCACTGCGGGGATCGGCGGCGAGCGATGGGAGGGGGGAGTCAAAAAATAGTCAGAAAATGCGCCAAAATTGTCAAAACTACACCAAAAATAGTCCCCAGACTGTTTCTTCACTATTTTTGAATATTCCCCCTGTAGAGGGACAGGCCCGACTTAAGGCTACCCATGGTGGCCGGACTGGAGGCCTCCTAGCTGGGGGGGGAATGTGAGAAGGGGAAGGCCTCCTCACAATGCTCGGACGTCCCTGGGTCTTCTGAGAAGTCTTCTCAGCCCTCCCTCCAGGCCTCCTGGATGACGGGAGGAAGATGCAGACGTAGCAGAAAGCATAATAGTATGGGGGCGATGTTCTTTTATGATGTGTTCAGATTCGATTCGGTTCGTGCTGCATATTTGGTGACTGTGTTACTTGTTTCTTCCCGAAATCCACCTGTAGGGGGACGTGCCCGACCCAGCGCCCGCTCCAGCACGAGCGAAGCTTGTTTCCAGGAAGGGGCTCCTCGCCTTCGGCAGAAAGGTGGGCGGACGCTGTATGTGACGGCGAGTCGTCCGGCGGAGAAGGGCGGACGCGGCAGTCTGACAACATCGCTTCCAGTGCCTAGGGTTCCTCCTCCTCCTCCTACGCCCCCTCCTCCTCCTCCTCCTCCCCCCTCCTCCTCCTCCTCCCCCCTCCTCCTCCTCCCTTCTCCTGCTCTTTCCTCCTTCTCCTCCTCCCTCCTCCTTCTCCTCCTCCTCCTCCTCCCGCCTCCTCGATCTCCTCCTCTTTCCTCCTTCCTCCTTCTCCCTCCTCATCCTCCTCCTTCTCCTCCTCCTCCTCCACCCTCCTCCTCCTCCCCATCCTCCTCACTCCTCCTTCGCCTCCCCATCCTCCTCCTCCTCCTTCTCCTCCTCGCTCCATCTTCTCCTCCTCCTCTCCTCCTCCTCCTCCTCCCTCCTCCTCCTCCTCCTCCTCTCTCCTCCTCCTCCTCCTTGCTCCTCCTCCTCCTCCTCCTCCTCCTCCTCCTCCTCCTCCTCCTCCCCGTCCTCCTCCCCTCAACCCCCTCCTCCGAGGGCTGGGGGAAGAGGAGGAGGCCTCAGTCAGCGGCTAGCCCAGGGGGGGGAGGACGAGAGGGAGCGGGTCTTCTCAGAAGGCCCGGAAGTGACCCTCCCATCTGAGAATGTTCCAAACCCTTTTCTCGAAGACGCAGAGAAATTCTCAGAAGGCGCCAGGATTTCTGCGAGCACCCCACCCCTGGTGTGTCCCCTTCTTTTTGTGCAGGGCAGACGAATAATTCTTGTTGGGGGGGGCCTCACTGTGCTTTTCATCGTCCTTTCCCCCGGAGCGCCAACAGTTTATGCTCCTGGCGTTTTTTCTTTTCCTGCTCATTCCTTCGCTCGCCAGCCCCACGTCTGCGATGCCAACAAACAAAACATGTGCTGGACCACGGCGACTTCAGCGACGCCGCTCGGGGACCTCGGACGCCGCAGTGATGACGACCACTCCGGCTTCCGGGCCGCCCCTTCGATCCAGGCCGAAGGAGCTGTTTGTTCGGCGTCACCCCAACATATTGATACTATATCCGTAAGGGCTTCGCCCCCTGCCGCCGGCCCCCTCTCTCGGAGAATGGGCCATGGAAGAGCTAAGTCATGAGGCCTTGGCGCTGTCGTGAAGCAGTATCGAAACTTCATGCGAAGCCGATTCGCAATCAGCAAAACCAACTGATCACAAGAGGGGTTACCACACCTGGCGATTGGTAAGACGTGTATGGTTTACGGGCTTGGTTACCACACCTTGCGATTAAAGGGCCGAGGGAGTTCTCGCAGTTTGGGTTACCACGCCTTGCGATGGATGTGCGTGAAGGGTGGCACCGAATTTCAGAAATGTGCAAATCCCCTGTGTTTTTGGACCCTGACCCCGCGGATCTGCGTAAGGGGTGGCGCAGAATTTCAGAAATGTGGCAAATCCCCTGTGTTTTTGGACCCTGACCCCGCGGATCTGCGTGAGGGGTGGCACCGAATTTCAGAAATGTGGCAAATCCCATGTGTTTTTGGACCCTGACCCCGCGGATCTGCGTGAGGGGTGGCACCGAATTTCAGAAATGTGGCAAATCCCCTGTGTTTTTGGACCCTGACCCCGCGGATCTGCGTAGGGGTGGCACCGAATTTCAGAAATGTGGCAAATCCTTTGTGTTTTTGGACCCTGACCTTGCGGATCTGCGTGAGGGGTGGCACCGGATTTCAGAAATGTGGCAAATCCCATGTGTTTTTGGACCCTGACCCCGCGGATCTGCGTGAGGGGTGGCGCAGAATTTCAGAAATGTGGCAAATCCCCTGTGTTTTTGGACCTTGACCCCGCGGATCTGCGTGAGGGGTGTCGATTTCGAGCCCCCCCAGCAATTCAGACAACGCGCCCAGGAGGTGCTAAATATCTGGTTTGGGCCTCCCCCCCCCTCGCGCGGTCAATCAACTAGTTACGGTAATCAGCAAGAAGCAGAATTGTAACACTGGAAACTACAAGCTACAACTGACACAGGAAACTGCGAACCCGCGCCTACAGCCTGGTGGCCCCACAAGGGGGCCGGCGGATTTAAGTCGGGCCTGTTCCTCTACAGGGGGAATATTCAAAAATACATCAAAAATAATCTGGGGACTATTTTTTGACAATTTTTGAACACTGTTAGGGCATGTTTTCGGTATTTAGTTTTTTCGTCGAAAATCCCCCTGTAGGGGGACACGCCGGACTTAATACTATATATGCGCGTCGCCCCCCCAGGGGCGACGCTCTCACCGAGAAATCTTCTTAGTATATGCGTGGTGGTGGGCGCTTTCTGGCAACACCGCTCGGGAAAGGATCGACTGCAAGATGGGTATACTATATATGATCGGGTCGGACGCGCGTCTCCGAGGCGGACGCACAGGATCAGTATGTCTCTGTGCGCCCCACCTGTGGCCGAGGCGCCCCTTGGCCAGACAAGAGCGCATCCGTTCCGCATTCGGCGCCCCTCCTGGTAACGGGCAGGACGACGGCGCGCGCACGGCCAAGACGCGCCGCCACGGCGCAGCACCGAGGAGCGCGCGGTCCTCCGGAGGGGCCCCGGTCTTCGGGCCGAGCCGCCGCGCCGGGTCGTGGGCCGCAGCCCGCCGCGGCCAGGAAGGCCCTCCTGAGCGCTGGCGCTCCGCGCGGCAGCGCGAGGACCGTGCACCCAGTCGGGCCAGGCCATGCCAGCAGGGCCCCGCGCACGGGGCGTCGGCACCGGCTGGATGCAGGGCTGAGGGGAGCGGCCCCTCGTGACGAGGGGCCGCTCCCCTCAGAAAGAGAGGGGGGTGATGACTAGGGGGGGGTGGATATCATGGCGGGGGCCATGACATTTCCCCAGATATCATGGCGCCTCCTCTTATTTCATTACGTCCCTGGCCCCCCCGCTGGGTCGCGCACATGCCGCCGGTCATGATTTGCACCCCCCCCTCTTGGACACC